GAAGCTAGATTCTGTTACTGCGTTGCCTACTTCTCGCTTAAAATCGTTTCAGAAACATATTTTAGTGTACTGGCTCGCTGGCTCTCGCTGGCTCTCGCTGGCTCTCGCTGGCTCTCGCTGGCTCTCGCTGGCTCTCGCTCCGTTTTACTGTCATGGCGGCGGCCAAAACGCCGAACTGGAGTCTTCAAAACACTAGACATATATACATATATATACATGCAAAACGGTACTCCACAAACCAATGGGTGACGTCACGTTAGGTTCACACTTGAACTAGACATGGTGGCACCAATTTTACCTAGTGGCCACTTGGGATATTGCAGCGAAAAACTCCTAACTGTCTGTAAAACTTTTGTTGAACTGCAAATGAGCTAAATTATGACTCTATTATGGACTTTTGATCCACTAGGTTTTTGTATTCTTCCCTCAAGTCATTTTCTTATAGCTGCCATGGTCCTGCTTGACCCCCACTGCCATTATTATTATTATTATTATTATTATTATTATTATTATTATGATTATTATTGTTATTATTGTTATTGTTATTATTATCCATCATTCCCCATCGTTGTGGCATTTGTCATCATCATCATCATTATTAGTTACTACTATACTAGTTCTACAAGTATAGTTGTTGCTATTGTTGTTGCTGTGCACCTTTGTCTTTGTCTCTGTCCTTCTCTCTTTACCGCCCATCCCCTATACTCTCTACCTCTAGTGGATAATGTGTTATACAGTAACAGTGCAATGCTATTGGTTTGGTGGAGGACTCTTTTAAGCAAAATCTACCGGATGTGGCATATTCCGACTGATTGCACCCGTTTTAGACAGTGGTCATGATTCGACCAGAAGCACCACTGCACGAAGGAATCTCTCTGCTCTGGGGATTTTTGCGGCTAGTTTATTTTTGATAGAAGGTGCGACCAAGCAGCACAGAGCAGATTGCATTGACAGGAAGTTAGGCACAGAAATGGCATAAAGGTTCAGTCAAGGTCAGTTTTCTAAATCAAATAACCCATGCAGACTCTGGATTTAATTAATAAAAGAATGTATAAACACAATTAAAACATACAAAAAAAGAAACAATTAACTGTAACTAACTACGTAGCCTGATCAACCCTTGGTAGAAGCACACAAATTTTTAGGATAAAGGACAAAATACACTGTCAATAATGCTGTGCAGGCAAAGTGATCTGAAGACGCTCCGCTTATGAAAGGCTCTTGGTGGGATTTGAAGACACGTGAATGACAGAGCCAGACCGCATCGCAGACATGACGTCATAAAGCTTTGCCAGATTGAATTTTAAGCATCAGTCTAGCAACTTCAGCCTTGTTTTTATCCAGGCACAGCCCAGGAATGGTGGTCATTGGTCTGGAGGTCATTGTTTCAGAGGTGAAATGGAGGGGCGAGATTAAGTCAAGGACGCAGATCAAGCTGCAAAAAGAAGAGAGATACAATTACCCTCATACATGTGTTTGTTGATGGAACTTAAGCAAAGACAAGAAGAGAGGAGTCCAGAGAGGAGGTCTGGTTTCGGTACCTGCGGGTTGCAATAATAAATTTGTGTTTGTCCAAGATGCATCTCATATCCTCATGAGACAAACATACCTCTGTATCTGCCGCTCTCAGATTAACCTCTGGCACCTTTCTTGTTCAGTCTCTGCTGAACACATTTCTGACTATCCTGCAGTTCCAGGAATGTCTAATGAGGAAAACTGATGCTGCTTCTCAAAGTGTTCCCTGTCTGACTGCTTTGTCATCCATCCATCCAGACAAATCAGGCTCCATGAAAAGATTAATCACACCTCTGATGCTTCTGAAAACTAATCAAATGCTTGCATTAGTAATTATTGATTTCTTGACAGCAGCCAGAGAGAAGCAGTACAATTATGTGGAACAAAACTACAATCTTTTTGTCCCCATGGCAATTGGCTGTCCCTCACAGTCTGTGATTTGAGTCCTTTCTTCCTTTCAACAGCATTTCAGATTTTTTGCAGGACTCCCTTGTGCGTCAACATTAAAGTGGTCAATAGCCAGAGGTCCATAATTTGCCACTACGTCTCCATCTTTAAACAGGCAGTGTGATTGCGTGGCCAGTATGCGTGGATTGCAGCGTTAAAATGCTATGAGATTAACAGACGGACTGTTTTTTTTTCTCTAATAAAAAAATAGGCATTTGGGGAATTCTTTTTTGGAGAAACTGTTCTAGAGTCATATGTCAGAAAAGCCAACCAGTTCTTAAAGGTCCAATGTGTAGGATTTAGTGATCTCTAGCAGTGTATTTGCAGATTGCTGATTGCAAATATGCTGGGCAAAACTATAGCCCCTATCCAGAGCCAGTGTTTGGTTTGTCTGTTCTAGGCTAGAAACATGGCGGTTCAACGTGGTGGACTCCATGGTAGGCGATCCATGGTGTCTTGTAGATAATGGATAACGGATAAACAGCTCATTCTCAGGTGATTATACACAAACAAAAACATACCTGTGAATATTATATTCCATTTCTGACAATAGATCCTCCTCTGACACTGACTGTTAATACTGTAATGTGAATCTTTGCATGCAGCAAGTTAATATCTTTGTCTTTGACCACTGTAGACGGTCCGTCTGTCCTTCCTTTTCTTGTGAACGCTTCCATATTGGTGTGTCCAGACTTTTTTGACTGGGGGTGGCATAAGTGGGTCACTGCCTTATGCAGTAAGCATGTAAGTATGTGTCTCAGCTTTCCTGTCATTTCCTGTTTATGGACACAAGTCCTGACAGGAACTAGGAAAAGAGATCACATCTCTCCTGTTCTAGCTTCTCTGCACTGGCTCCCTGTAAAATTTAGAATAGAATTTAAAATTCTCCTAACCTAGCAAAAGCTTCAATGGCTCAGCGCCCTTCTTATCTGAAGAGCTCCATAGTCCTATACCCCACTCAGAACACTGCCGCTTCTCTGAAATGCTGGCTACCTTGTACGTTCCTATAGTCTCTAAAAGTAGAACAGGAGCCAGAGCCTTCAGTTACCAAGCTCCTCTCCTGTGGAACCAGCTTCCAGTTGTGGTTCGGGAGGCAGACACCCTCTCCACATTTAAGAGTAGGCTTAAGACGTTCCTCTTTGATAAATAAAGACGCAGTGTTCTAGTGGGGTATAAGCTCTTTCATTATTTTTTTTTTTATCCAATGTCACCAGGGGGGCTCCGTACATTAATATCACAACTCTATTCTTTATAACCTCTTTTATAGTATAGCTTTGATTGTGACCTTTTCCAAATAGTATTGCCATTGCATTATTTTAAGTATTGCGCAAAAACTTCATCCAAAGGTCCAGGGTGTAACATTTAGGAGGATCTGTTGACAAAAAATGGTATATAATATTCATAGGTATCTTTTTGCGAGTGTACAATCACCTGAATATAGGAATCATTGTTTTTGTTACCTTAGAATGAGACGTTTTTATCAACAGACGCTGTAGGTCGCCTTCCATGGAGACCACCATTTTGAATGACCATGGTTCTACAGTACCCCAGAAGGGAAAATCCAAACACTACGTGTAGATAGGGATGTTGCAGCTGCCATAGTTTCTCTCTTGCAGTTGGATGAGAGGGTGAAACAAGTTGCAATTCACAACCACACCACTAGATGGCACTAAATCCCACATACTGATCCTTTAAAAATTGGTGGGTCCTTCCTATAAAAGCCCTTTAAACTTATGTTTCGTAATATGGTGCAACACACAAACAAAAAGTTTGGACAATGGATTCATTTTGAAAAGTGAGCCCAACTTAAGAACAGTTTTTTCCTGATTGATGCTGAAACAAGCATTTGTTGGTTTCAAAACTTGTAGAACTACTGTAAATACTGTACAGTGAGAGAAACTTTACAAGTGTAAGACCAATTTTGAGGAACATTGTCTTGTTTGCTCATGTGATTGTTGATTTTACATTGTACAGACAAAAATACACCTAAAGGATAGACTCTCTGACCACAAATATGCAATATTTGTATTAGTATAGTATGTTTCTCATTTGAATGAGTAACCCTGTGCGTCCTTATTTTCTGTTGTTGTTTTCGGGGGTTTTCAGTTGTCTTACAGTTTGTTAAATCATGGGAAAATAACCTCTGAATGACACTCATGATGTTAATGAGTGTACAATGTGTATGAATGTATAAAAGGGTCAGGCCAGGTCTTTTTTCTGCATATAAACACACAAAAAACAACTTTATTTAATTGACCTTGCAGTCCACAACCTCAAAATTCTAACCAAATAAAACTGAAACTCTAACAAAATCAACTCAAAACATGTGTTTGCATCTGGTTTTAATTATCAATACAATTTATACATTCAATATCTGTCGTATACACAGAAAAGGCCTACAGGGCGGCTTTGGCACTAGAAGATAATAGAGAGGCCCATTCCTAAACTGTGTCATCAATGTTTTTTTCTTTCTCATCTTTTCCCCCTCCGTTTACTTCCAGCGACCGCCCACCTTCCCTTTACCATGGACCTTTTTGCTGTAGGAGGGAGAGAGAAGGAAGGAGAAGGAAAGTGAGGAAAGATGTAACAGGGATTGTAGAAACACACATGCATCAGATCTGCAGTTTATCATTATTTCATATAAAAGTAACTACTCACAATTTCTGAGCATGTTGGATTCTGTTCAGCAGCACGATGATCTGCAGGAGGCAAACAAAAAGACTTTAGAGGCATCAAGGAGAGAAAAAAAACAGAAATCAACTACTTTCCTGACCATTTCTGTCAGCAGTACCTCATATTTCTGGTGCTTCATATGCTCAATGAAGTCAAACTTCTCAGACTCCAGCTGGTAGATCCAGTTCCACATCTCCTGGGCCCGTTGCCTTGGAAGCACAAAGACATTTAGAAAGGATTTGGATCTTTATTACTTTATTTACTAGCAACCTAATGGCTGAGAAACAAAGCCACTTATGACTAGCTAATGAGTCATTCTCTATGGGGCCCCATATTCATGACAACTGCTCCACCCATGCTCCACTTATTTGCCCATTTTGAGTCAGTACTGCCAAGATGGCGAGGGGCAGAACCAACCACCCTTAGATTAGATTAGATTTTATTTTATCCATGCATATACTATAATACTATAATAAAATACTACACAGTGGATGTGCTATCATGAACAGGGCTATTTTTTAACAGAATCTATAACCCCACAAAATAAGGTAGCATGAATTGGAAGTAACACTTGGCTAGTTACGGTTGCTAAGCTATGATTTGACAACCACTGTTACACATCCAATGATGAGCTTCAGACAAGAAGTTTTACAATCTGGGAGTGGTCATTGGCTGTTAAATGAAGATATATTTGTGATATATTTGTTATCTGAATAGCAATGATAATTTATGCTGTATTTTGTGTGACTAAGTGGCAGACACAGGACAAAGGTGGCCCCTGTAGTGATCCCTGTGGAACACCACATTTTACCTTATAGCAGGACGATATGTTAATGTATTATTGGGAACCCTTTCTGCCACTTACAAATGAACGGAACCAGGCTAGTTACAGTTGCTAAGCTATGATTGGACAGTCATTGTTCAGAGGAGGGGCTTACAGAACATTCAATTTGTAAAGGCCATTTTGTATATGATTAATATTGATTCAATCACCTTTCAGGTTATCAATACCCAGTTTAAAGCTGCTGTAATGGCGTCATTGGTTAGCTGTCTGAAATATAACTGGAAGAGACTCACTTGAGCCCATCCTCCCTCAAACTGTCGATGCCCAGCGGCTGCCGTCTCTCTGCCAGGGTCTTCTTCTTGATCTCTTTGCCTGTTAGACGCTTGCCCCTCCTTGACTCAGCCTAGAACAGAATACGCACAGTCCACAGTCATCCTCTGCATCTTCATTTCCTCACCATCATTGTTACCATCATATCTACTGCTTGTCTGACCTTGGCCAGGAAGCCTCCGAAGTTCGCTCCCATGCCAGAAAGCACTTTCTTCTTCTTGGCGTCATCATCAGCCTTCTTCTTGGCTTCCTCTTCCTCTTTCCTGTGACGTTCCTCCTGACAGATGAAGAAGGATGGCGTGGTGAAGGTGCAAGAAAACCATGATTACATATGGAACTTAATTTCTGTGCATCTGTTGAGTTCAAGCTATATTGAGCAGTTTTTTATACATTTTATAAATGAAAAGTGGTTTCACATTAGAAATTAGAGAAACAATGGCTTCTCTAATTTCTAAACCACTTTTACAGTACCATTAATCATGTGTGCATCCTTGAGATACATCATACAAAGCCTGCATGAGCCTGTTTACAGCCTAGATAAAGTGCTTTGATACAGACTGGGTGATACATTTGTACATTTGTGTTTATGTTTATGTTACCGCAATCCTGTTCTGTCTGTCCTTCTCCTTCTCTGCTCTAACCCTCTGGATCTCAGCCCTCTCTGACCGACGATGCTCCTGATGGAAAGCAAAGCAAGAAAGCCATAAAATATATTAATGCAATTCATCAACCATTAAGGCACATTTGGATAAAAATTCAATCACATTATAGAGGAACATGTACATGTACGCGCACATGTAGCTGTTGCCGGAAACAAACAGCACACTTCTCTGCAGAACGCCAGAGTTCCAGAACGACAGGTTTCATGCTAAATTCTGAGCAATGGCTGAGAAAAGTACCCCTTCGCATGGTTACTTGTAACCGGCTTGCCCCGAGAAAAAGGCAAAGAAAAGAAAGCCGGAGGATGAAAAGGCAGCTAACAAAAAGGCTCTGGATAAAGCAAGAGGTCAAACCAGAGTCAACATCGTGTAGCTTTTTGAGGCGGTGGCGAACTGAGGGATCAGAAGTGCCTGAAAAGTGATGCCGAGGTTGCTCTCTTTCTGCTGGCCAGGTAATTTATTTTCCTTTGGGGATGATTTGTTATTTTCATGAAATATCGTAATGCCTAACGTAGCTACGTTTGTAGCCTTGGATTAGCGTAAATGCTAATATTCACTCTTGCTCTGTGAGTTTAAACGCCGTCGGTTGACGCTAAGGTTTCTGAAAAAGATTATAGTATATTGAATTTTTAAGATATTACTCTACCATAGTCGTCAGTGTCTGCATTATTTACTTGTGATAAAAAGATGTATATATTGGCTTTTACGTTTTAACAACTGCGGTGATGGCGTGCCAGTTGTGTGGGGGCGGGCTTGGACCGACACACTGATGGGAGTCGTTGGGGAGAGGGGTGGAACCATGAGCCAACCAGAGGAGGCAGGAGGCGGTGCTATTTTCAAACCTTGCTAGCTCTCTCGCTAGCTTTCCAAGATTACCAACCCCAGCTTTAACCTCCCATTTCCATCAGCATTATTATAACTTAGTGTGCAATTAAAATTTGGGTTTTAAAAAACCCTGAAATCTATTTTTGCTGACAGCCTTTGGTTCAACTTCTTACCGTTGCTGCAGTGATGTAGAAAGAGGTTACAGGTGTGAATGGGTCACAGACAGATATGAAAACTTTCAACCAGAGAAGATCGTGGAACATTGCTTTTCCACCTGTTATCAGCCCATTAAGTGGCTGTGATAACACAACAATTATAATGCTTCAGATGAGGCACACATAACCTCCCAGAAGGCCAGAGGGTGTGTATCATTTATTTTAATCACTGTGAATTCCGTTGTCAAGTTAGCAATAAGAAATATGCAACATTCTGGTAACACTTAACACAAATTAAAGCTTGCTGAGGTTGCAGTTCAGTTAGGTTAAGGCCCCAAAACTACTAGTTAGTTAGCTAGAAAGATGTTACATTACGTGCCTGACGGAACTAAGTTTTGTAAGTTAACTTACATACGTAAGTTATAATATAAGTTAGCACAGTAGTCTCTTAGGTGAAAGTCCTGTCTTTGTTGGACCCATCCATCCTCCCCCCAATACACCCCAACCTCCTCCTTACGTGGACATTTTTTTTTTTTACAGTATGTTCTTTTATTGCCCCTGTCATTATTACCCCCTGCTGGTATGGCACCTTTACTTTATCAGTATGTGGGAACTGCTTGTTGAGCCAATTAGGACATAGATTAGGGCCATACTACCTCAAAGGTATGATCCTGATGACAACTGATAAATGCCATTTAATGGGCTGGTAATATTCAAAGTGGATGGCTTTTCAACCTGCTGTTAAGTCCATCTTTAAAGGATAAGTTCAGTTGTTTTCCAAGGAAAAAGCTCTGAATGCTGAAAAAACTATATATTTTATTGGGGTACCTGAATTTCTGAAGAGAGTAATTTTATTAGGGGTATGGTCTAGACCTGCTCTATTTGGAAAGTGTACTGAGGTTACTTCTGTTATGATTTCGTGCTATATAGATTTAATTTAAAATTTAATTTAATTTAAGTAATAGCCCATAATTAAATTGAACAATATATAGGCAGTTTATGACTTTAAGCCCTAACCACTGAATCATCTTACCTTCGGGAAATGCTAATGAATGTAATTTGAGAATTTTGTAAGTATTAGTCTAAAGGCTTTTGATGCTTTCCTCCCCAAATGGAATAAAACGTAGGGGAAAAAATCTACAATATTAAGGAACCTTCTGCTTTTATTATTCATTTTTGAATACTAGAAAAAATGTCAGTCCATGAACTATGAAACCCAACCCAGGGCAGTCTGCTTTATTGCAGAAACAACATATCTGCCCTTTAACCTATAAATCTGCTATCTGAGTCATTAACCAAAAAACTCCTAGTTACATTTGGAATTGGATCACAGATTTCTATAGTCATGTTTGGTGGGAATGACCCAAATGTATTGTATGGTTAACAGTTCTGATAGAGGAGGGTGAAATATTGCAGTGAACCCCCTAACCAGCTCCCCATCAGGGAAAACATTAACACTAATTTTTATTCTTTGGAACTGACATAAAAAAGAAATCTTTAGGGAGTATCTGTCTGCATATCTTTGGGTGGGCTGCCATCAGTTCAGGTTATAGAATAGGTCAGTTAAACACTTAAAATCACATCATTCCACAACATATAATTTGAAATTATTCTGAAGACTGGGAAAATTTTTATGTGAGGTTAGTGGACAAAAACCATCCCTCCCCACAGGGAGAGATTTATGATTCTCATTAGTGTGGACATAAAATATCACAGATGGGTAAACACTCTTAGCGGAGGAGACAGGGGTGAAAGAAGTGAAGATTCGTCCCGGCCTTCATACAACCAGACAGAAGACAGAGAGAGAGACTCTGAGAAGATGTGAAGAGGAGGAGTGAGGGAGATGGAGAGGCTGTGAGGAGAGGACCGGAGACGGAGCGTGAGGAGGGATCGCAGTCCGGAGGCTTCGTGCCAGATGTCCAATCACTCATTCAACTCCTAGCCAGACCTGAGAGCTACTAACTAACTTAAGGTGGTGAAAACATCAGCTGTCAGTCCAGACCAATAAAAATTCATCATTTGGAGATCCTTTCCTTATATGAGCACAGTAAACTGTTTGATAAGATTAGCCAGGCTGGTGATTTGTCCAAATCTAATAAGAAAAGGTGGTGATGAGAAGGGAGCTTGATAAAACTTCTCACATTTATCACGCTTGAAATATCTGTACAAACAAGGGGACTAGAAATTGAATATAATATTCATAGGTCATTTTACATCATTGTATAATAACCTCAAAATAACAGCAGTTTTGTTTTTGTTACCTTATTACCTTCCTAGAATGAGACGTTTTCATCAAGGAGGCCACCATGTTGAACCGCCATGTGGGGACAAACCAAATACTCTCTCTGGGTAGGGGTGCTTACATTTTTGTGTCATTCGCGGCCACCGTGGTTTCTCCATTGTGCTTGAAAAGGGAAGGTGAAGCAAGGGAATCTGCAGCTACACTGCTATCCTACACACTAGTCCTTGAACACACCTTTGTCTGCAATATCAAGTTAGATAACCATTATCCTCCTCTGTAGTCCCCTGCAACTCAAATGTGACCTAAAACTGGATAAAATGTCAATTTATGAGTTCTGGCAGACAACAACAACACTAACACATGTGCAAAGAGGATATGATGCCATTGACAGGCGACCGGTGAAATGCACCTTTTACCAGAATAAAATTACAGATTTGAACTTTATTGGAAACATTTGGGATAATGTTAGTACTCAACAAATTATATAGGTCTAGTGTTTATAGACATTTTATTGCGAAAATGTGACATATTATATCCATAATAGAGTTTACATCCCATCACAGACTGCAATTAATGTCTTTTATTAACTGTAACTATGATTTTCCCATAACCAGTTCCCATAAAAAGTGTTTTAGTCACCTAATCCTATACCTTAACCACAGATTATTTGCCATTACCAACACCTTTCTATAATCTTAACCTTACTGTGGTTGCCATTCGCAGCTATTGTAGAAATAATCTAATTTATTTCTTATGTTGAGATCTCATCATAGATAAAATTCTGTTTTCTCATATGACTTAATATAACACATATTTTCTCAGTGGTAGTATTTGTAAAGGTGTGGGGACCATATCTCAGATGCTCATTCATCAGATGGCTTAAATTAAGACCATCAAGCAGATGCTAATTATACATCTTGTATCGTCTGCTTGTCTTTGTCATCTGTCTGCTTGGCATTATGAAAGCTTGAGTGAGCCATGATCCAATTAGTCAGATCCAGACCCAGACCAAAGGTTGGCCAGTCACTCAATTTGTTGGGCTTATGTAAGGCAGTCTCCTTTGTATAGGTTGCTTTGATTGGAAACCAGCTACAGTACCTGAGTGGATGTTTTAATTACAAGGACCAGCAACACTGCATTTCCATAACAGCTCCAGTCGTTTAAATGTATTATGGGTATAAATATGTATGATCCTGAAGTGTATGTCCCATTCATGTGGGTACACAGTGTACATGTGCATGCATCTGATGTGTGCATTTAGGATTCATTTAATCAGCAAGGTTTTCCATTGCATTAAACCTAAACAAGATTATTTTTATTGCAATTTTGGCATTTATGTGACAATACAAAGTGTATAGATATTTACATTTTACAATAAATGTCTCTCCAGATATGTCGTTCTTCCAGCATGACGGCAGCAAGACTATAATCCTTACATATACATACACATTGCTTCTATAAACTGCTGAAACTGGAGCATGAGGCAAACTTAAACACACAGAGGGAGAGAGTCCAGAGACGGTATTAGGCTCAAGTTTGGGGAAGAGTCCAAACAAGCCATAACATGCTGTCAAAATATCTTATCTTATCTGAATGCCTAAAGCTCGTCACAACAAGTGGGATGATTTTGGGGGAGTGGACAGCGTCAGCACAAGATTAATGGCATTAAATAATTTTTCTAATACACAAATATACTATCATACTTGCTCTGTAATCTTGGTCGGAAATGCCTTTCGCTCTTGAAATAATCAACATCTCGCAACCTGTGGCTTATCCAGTAATTCATCAAGAAAATTAGCCTGAAAAGAGAG